TGTGTGTGTGTGTAGGAGGCTGCCTCCTCTGCTGGACTCCACTCCTGCCCTACAGCCCATTCATCCACCTCTAGATAGTTAAATGGGGGCACCCAAGCATAGCCCCTCCCTGGCTTTTCCCCCAGCCAAAGACTTGGTTACCCGACTGATGGAGGTGGAGCAAGACCAGCGGATCACTGCAGAGGAGGCCATCTCCCATGAGTGGTGAGCAAAGCCCACAGGTAGGGTGGAGAAAGATGATTAGCAAACACCAGGGTTCTTGTCCCCTATCTGCCTAACACCTAGCACGTTCATTCATGAGGCCTTGAGTGGGTGGAGGGTACTCAGGACTCAAGCCAACCCAGAGACTTCTTCTGGTGGTCCCTTAAGCCCACGAAAACATCTTGGGCAAAGTCTAGATGGAGGCCTGTACCACTTAGAACCAGATGCACTCGAGTCTTTTCTAGGATTTCTGGCAATGCTGCTTCTGATAAGAACATTAAGGATGGTGTCTGTGCCCAGATTGAAAAGAACTTTGCCAGGGCCAAGTGGAAGGTAAGGCTTGGATGACCTGCTTTCCTGTTCTGACTGCACTTTGATCACCCATTGTTTCTTTGCCTGCAACACACACGTTCGCTTTCTTCAGCCATCATGAATGGCCATAGTCATTGCCTTTAAGTGGCTTGCTAAGCAACTGGTTCCCAGGCCCCAGGACAGTTGAAGGCAGCTGGGGAGGCATCACAAAAGGGGCTGGGTTTAGCTATTGCCAAGGAGTGAGTCTAGCTTCTGAAAGCCTCACCTTAAACTTCTATCGTCTTCTCTTCAGAAAGCTGTCCGAGTGACCACCCTCATGAAACGACTCCGGGCACCAGAGCAATCCAGTACCACTGCAGCCCAGGCGGCCCCAGACACAGATACTGCCACCCCAGGGGCTGCAGGCGGGACCACAGCTGCAGCCCTGGGTGGGGCCACCCCAGTCCCAACAGCAAAGGGTGTTGGGGCTCTTGCTGCAAAGAGTGAGAATGTGGTCTCTGCAGACCGTAGTGCCACCCCAGCCACAGATGGCAGCGTTACCCCAGCCACTGATGGCAGCGTTACTCCAGCTACAGACGGAAGCATCACTCCAGCCACTGATGGGAGTGTCACTCCAGCCACTGACAGGAGCGCCACTCCAGCCACTGATGGGAGAGTCACACCAGCCACAGAAGAGGGCCCCATGCCCACCACCCAAAGTAGTGCCACATCAGCCCCCAAGGCAGCTGCCACCCCAGAGCCGGCTGTGGCTCAGCCGGACAGCATAGCCTCAGAGGGCACAACAGGCCAGGTTCTACCCTCTAGTAAAGGGGAAGAGGCTGCTGGCTGTGCCCAGGAATCTCGAAGGGAGGAGACCAGCTGAGTGGGCAGGCTGGTGGCTGAGTAGGGGAGGGGATGACAGGAGGGTGGGAGAGTGGATGGGGGCTTCTCACTGTACATAGTCATTGGCATGATGCCCCCTTCCCTTCCCTGCCCCTCTGTCCCCCAGCGAGGGGCATGCCTGGTGGCCACGGGAAAGTAGTCGCGTCTCCCATGTGTATGTGCGTGAGTGGTGGGCAGGCCAGAGGCAGGGCTGGCCCCAGCCCCCCTGCATGGATTCTTTGTGGCTTTTCAGTCTTTTGCTAGCTTTCTAGTTTTTTGTTCCTTGTGGGATGCTGCTCTAGGGATTCTCAGGGGCTCCCTGCTCCCTTTTCCCTTCCCTTCTTGCCTCATGATTCCCCTAGTCAAGGCCTGGTGGGTCCCCTCCTTTCCTAGACCCCAAACTCAAGTGGTCTTGCCCTAAGAGCTAGTCCTCCAGTGAGGTCCTGTCAGCGGCCTTTAGTCTCCTGCACACGAACACGTGAGGCTGCTCTAGAAGTGAGCACAGGCTGAGATGGAGGATGTAAAATTCTAGATTAATGTATTTAGAGACAAGATTGGTTGCAAGAGCCCAATAGGGTCCCTCAGGAGTAGAAAAGAGTAGTAGGGTAAATGCTTGCATCGTTGACCCTTGGAAGCCCATCTCAAATTCTCTGTGTCATTTCCTGTCCTCCTGGGTCCTGCAGTGGGTTTCCCTGGACTCCAAGCCTCTTGAGTCTTTAAGGGGAAGAAGCAGAAAGGATGTGGCAATGAGACTAGGGAGAGGAGAGTGCAAGGCTAGCACCCAGTGCCCCAGCACAGCTGGATACTGATCCTGGGCCAAACTGAAGGCTGATACCCTCTTGCTCTTCCCAAATGCCTTTCTTCTCAGCCTCAGCCGTCAAGTTCTCTCCATTTCAGCATGCCTCCTTATGGCAATGCCTCACAGTCTATGATTTGAGGGTTTGCCTTTTACACAGGCATATTTTCTGCTCTCTCAGTGCAACAAAATGGAGTGGGAACCCCCTTTGTACAACTCACTTCCTCCTTTTCTTAGGGCTTAGAGGGGAGCCTAGGCACCTCTGAGCCATGCTGAGTTGTTTTGCTGAGATGAGGAAGTGGAATGAGGGCCCCCTAGTTCCCTGATGGATGCTCCTGGCAGGTATCCTTTGTCAGATCCTATTACAGTCTGGGCAGGCAGCCATGCCAATCCTAGCCCCCCCACTCAGCACTCCGTGGTGGTCCTGCCCTTCTCCCTGCATGCCTGTGGGTCTGCTCTGGTGTGTGTGTGTGTGTGTGTGTGAAGGTTGGTGGGCTGTTTGCCTGCTGAACCTGGCAAATAAACGTCACCCTGCCAAAGTCTTTGGCCACCCTCTCGCCTTTTGCTTCCTCTGTCCTAATGGGAAGGGGCCCTTGGCTGTAGTGATGAGGGGGCTCTGGGAGCAGGTTCAGAAGTGGCTGGTGTTCAGTACCACGTGAATTGCCTGGGCTGAGAGTGAAGATTAACCTATCACAGCATGTTTTTCTCCAGGCCCTTGGCATAGGGGTAAGGGGGAGTTTACTCTAGATCTAGAAATCCATGTGGATGACAGGTCGTGGACTGTCCTAATGGTGCCTGTTATCTGTCTTTATTTGGGCATAGAACTAGAACACATCTAGGGCCAGTCATCATGGGGAGACACCATTCCCATGGCCAAAGTGGGCTTCACTGGGTTGGGAAGATGGGGTGCTGGGTGGCCATCACACCAAGGTTTTCTGCTGTCAGGTATTGGTTCCTCCTTTCTGTGAACAACATGTGCTCTAGCTTGAAATGAAGCTTTACTGTATAAGGTTTTGAAGGATCCCTGTTAGCACAGTGATTAAAGCAGCTAACCAACGTTTCATGGTTCAAAGTCACCGGCTGTGTGGTGGGCAAAGATGTGGAAATCTGCTTCCATAAAGACTTACAGCCTCGGACACCCTACTGGGCAGTTCTGCTTTGTCTATAGACAAAAAAGCCCTATAGGGTCACTGTGGGTTGGGATCAACCCAATGGTAGTGGGTTTGCTTTTTTAGTATAAAGTTTCTCCAGGGAAAAGGGAAAGTAACACGGCTAAAGATAGTGAAAATTCCTAGGCGACATCAAGATTGCCACAGCCCACATGGGCCCGGGTTCACTCCTCTTAGGGAGGACTTAAAAGATCAAATGGGAAGATCTGGAAAAGTGTTTGGGGTGTTGTTTTGTTTTTTTTTGTTTTAGTCCCTGGTGTTAGGCACTTGTCTATGAACATCAGGATCTCAAAAATTCCAATCTTCTGCAGCCCCAGAGGCATAACTGATCCTCCTTATGTCTTGAGAGTTGAGAGCTAAAGCCCAGAGTATTCAGATTAAGAGATGTCATGCTTTCCTGAGATAAAGCCAAGGTGAAGCTGGAGTATGGGGGCGGGGGTGTGTTGAGAGGGGGAGAACATTAGAATTCACAGGTTACCAGCAGATCGTTCAATACTGCCTAGAGGCAAGCCAGCCCGTTCCCCAAAGGGAGCGTTGTCCGTTCTGCGGCCACTATCTTCTCAAGACCTTCCCAAAGTCCACGCAGAAGGTGGTCTAGGGAGAGCAGAGTTGAGCGTACTAGGTCCTGTCCAAGTGTGGGCCTATCCTGGTGCTCGAGGGATGCCGGCCGATGTACAGGAGCCTATCAAAGGCGCCGAGAAGCCCTGGGACCGGTGACGAGCCCAAAACACAAGATAGACATCACAACGCAACGCCGGAGCTCCAGACCCTGGCGCCTCTGCCAATCCCGGCTCAATATTCAAGCCCCGCCCCCTGGTCTGTCGTCATTTCCTGTCCGTTCCCGGAAGCTGCGCAGAGGAGGCAAGTTTGAAACGGGGGAAGGTAACGCGTGTGGCGCAGCAGTGAAATCCGTGGGGCCGCCGTCTCCTTGGTTACCCTGGCCACTTAAGTCCCGCGGCCATGCCTATCCGTGCGCTGTGCACTATCTGCTCCGACTTCTTCGACCATTCCCGCGACGTGGCTGCCATCCACTGCGGCCACACCTTCCACCTGCAGTGGTAAGTGGACGTGGGGGTCAGGCCCTTCCCGGCGACCGCTGTCTAGAAGCCCCGGGGAGGGGTAGGAAGGACAGCGCTGGACGGAGCCCCCCACTAGAGGGTCCTCACTTAGAAGGAGGGGGCGGCTTCTGAAAGAAAGTGACAGTTAAGCCGAGCCCAGAAAAGGGACTTGTTGATCAGCTGTGTTAAGATATACAACTTCAAAACTGTTAGCCTGGGAAGATGTGAGCTTTCCCCACATTAACGAGCATTAAACTTAAAATTTAAAAATAAATTTTAAGAATTTATTCTTGCTAGAAACATGGTAAGCCCTTGCCTACTGATGGAACTTAAAATGGTTTATTTGATGTTTTGGAAGATTTCTATCTAGAGTCCTATCATTGGTCAGACTTCCTAGTGTAGTCACTGATGCCAGTAAGCAGATGCATATCATAGGGCATGGACATGCTCCTCAAGGGATTTGGATGACCTTGGGGGACTAGACTATTGAGGATACTGTTGATGTGACAAGATACCCTAATAGCTGTGAATGAGCCGGTTTAAAGGCCCCAGCAAAGGACTTGGGCAGATTAATCCAGGGCACTTACCAAGCAAAACACCTCAGCAATCAGGTACCCAGGCTACTAGCAGATCTCAAAGGTCATTTTCCCTCAGAGCCTCCCTAACAGGCTGTGTTCCTGAGAGCCAGAGCTATTGCTGTGCTTTCAGATGGGAAATCAAGCTTCTAAGGCTTCTGCTCTCTTCACTGTCTGTATACTGTTTTTTCATCTTTTTCTTTTTTAATTTTCATTTATCAGACAATCATAGCTGTTATTTGAGCCCATTGTTGCAGCCACTATGTTGATTCATCTCATTAAAGGTTTTCTTCATTTTCACTAACCCTCTCTACTTAACAAACATGATGTCCTTCTCCAGGGACTGGTCTCTTCTGCGAACATACCCAAAGTACGTGAGACAAAATCTTCCCATCTTTACCGGTAAGGTGGATAAATACAGGCTGTACTTCCAAGACAGATTTGTTTGTTTTTCTGGAAGTTTACAGTACACTTAATATTCTTGGTCAACACTATCATGCAGACACATTGATTCTTCTTCAGTCTTCATATTTATTGTCCAGCTTTCACGTACATTTGAGGCGCTTAATAATACAAGGGTTTGAGTCAAGTACATCTTAGTCCTCAACATGGAACCTTTGTTTTAACACTTATACAGCAGGTTTGCTCAGTGCATTTCATCATTTGATTTCTTGACTGCCTGCTTCCATAGGCATTGATTGTGGATGCAAATAAAAGACAATCCTTGACAGCTTCAATCTTTGATCAGGATGTAAATTACTGATCTAGTTGAGAGAATTTTTGTTTTCTCTCTATTGAGGGATAATCCATACTGAAGACTGTAGTCTTTTCATTCATAAGTGTTCCACATCTTCACTTTCAGCATGAAGGTTGTGTCTGGCAAGCTGTTAATGAGTCCTCCTCCAATCCCAACAGCATGTTTTTCTTTATACATTTTCGCTTCTTGTAGTATTTGCTCAGCATACTGATTGAACAAGTGTGTTAAAAGCATATATCCCTAGAGTGAACTCTTCTGATTTTTAAACCACAGAGTAGCCACTTTTTTCAATCAGATAACCTCCTCATGGTCTTTGTGCAGGTTCCACATGAGCACAGTTGGATGCGCTAGGATTCCATACTTCATCATGTTATTCATCATTTGCTATGATCCACACAGGTAAACATCTTTCTGGTGTTCTTTGCTTTCAACCATGATTCATCTAACATCAACGATGATATCCCTTATCGTATATTTTCTTCTGAATGGACCTTGAATTTCTTGCAGTTCACTGTCAATATACTGTTGCAACTATTTTTGAACTATCCTCCATGTAACTTTACTTGCAAGTGCTGTTAGAGATAATGTTTGATGATTTCCACATTGTGTTGTATCATCTTTCTTTGAAGTGCACATAAATAGGGATCTCTTCCAGTTGGTTAGCCAGAGAACTATCTTCTGAATTTCTTGGCATTGACTAATGAATGCTTTCAGTGTTGTAGCTAATTGTTGAAATATCACATCAGTACTCCATCAGTATCAGGAGTCCAGTTTTTCACCAAAACGTTTCAGTGCAATTTGGATTTTTTCCTTTTAAGACCATTGGTTCTTGATCATATGCTATGTCCTGAAATAGTTTACCATTGACAGATTGTTTGATGCAGTGACTCTGCGTATTCCTTCCATCATCATCTTTTTTTAAGTTGTGCTTGGACTAAAAGCAATTGCTTTTTCCTTCAATCATTCTTACAGGTTTTGCTTGTAGCATTGCAACCCTCACATTGTAACAGCACTCAGTCTTCTCACTTCTACCCTGAGTCTCATTTCCATTCATCCTTCTGTCCTGAGCTTTCTCCCTGGGCAGCTGTTCCCTTGTAATCTTGTCTGATTGATTGTTCTATGGAATGACTACCTGGTTAGTGTTGTTATTTACCTTATAAGCATGCTCAGCCAAAGGTTGAAACACTGAGGTGAGATTAGTTTTAGGCTCAGAAGGTTACTAAAGGCCATACTATTAGGGATTCCACTAGTCTCTACTAGACCACCACACCTGATCATTTTTGTGAGTTTGAGCTTTTCTCTACAGTTTTCTCTTGCTTTGTATCGGACCCTCCCTCACCCTCTGCTCTGGTCCCTTTTAGAACAATCAGCAATGGTAGCTGGGTATCATCTAGTTCTTCTGGTCTCAGAACAGTGGAGGTTGAAGTTTATTTGTCCTCTTAGTTATTTAGTTTAGTCAGTCAATTAGTCCTTGGGACTAATTGTTATTAAAAAAACTCCCAAAACACCTGTTTTATTTCCTTTGTGCTTCAACAAGGAGAGATCAATAATGAAACCTCCAATATTGTATCTCAAGACTTGATTCTTTTTCTTCAGTTACTTCAGCTTGAGAAGTGCTAAACATGTTTTTTCTTTTTTATTTTCTAACTACAGATCTTTACACATATAATTGTAATACTTTATTTCATCGTCTTGTGATGCTTTTGGAAATATTCTGCCCAGCTCTTTTTTTTTCCCTGCCCAGCTCTTTTATATCATCATTTCTTCTGTTCACTTCAACAGCTCTACATTCAGAGCACGTTTCATAGTCTCTTTTGACATCCATTTTGGTCTTTCCTATTTTTTTTCCTTTTAATACCAATTTCTTTTTAATTTGTTGTTGTACGTTTTCTTTCACCCCTCTCCTATTTTTTTAAATGACCTTTTGCTTCCTTCTTGCATTATGTTCTTGATGTCATCCTATAATTCTGGTCTTCAGTCATTGATGTTCAGTGCATCAGATCTATTCCAGAGGTTGTGAAAGGAGCAGTTGCAGAGTGAGAGTGGCTGAGTCAGACTTCTCTCTACTTCATAAAAGGGAACTGTCCCCATCAATAATATCTATAGTACTAAACAAATAGCTACATGTCCAGACATGCTACCCCTCATGCTCCTGCACCTCTTTCCACCAATCATTGGGTCTGCTGTTCATTGCAAATTGACTCACAGACTTTACTCAGAGTTCTCAGGTTAATTAGGCAGATAGTTTTGGGAGTGGGGGAGGCAAAGAATATCACACAATACAAGTCCAGGTTTAGTCCAGCAGTCCCAAACCAGATTAAAACGGCACAATGCCTCAATTAGTGAAAGTCCAGGTTCATTTCTGCAGCACAAATGTACCCCTGGTTTCCTCAATCATCCAGCAAACTTATCTTGGAGCTGTTGCAAGTCAGCTTTTCTTTTTTTTTTTTGTTTTTTCGTTAAATATCTTACAAATATCTTTTATGGTTTGCTTTATTTCCCCCCCTACTGGCTTATTTACAAAATTTGAATACAAATTCAAAAATATTCTTTCAATTTCCCTCACCCCTCCACCCATCAAATTGTACAAACTAGTCATTAATCCCCCACTTTCCCTTGCACATCCACATCCCTCTGCTTCCAGCCTCTCCCACCCCTCCTGAATCCGTATACTTATTCTACAATAATGGTTTTATACAATAGTTATCCTTGTCGGACTGAGTTATTTCACTCAGCATAATGCTCTCCAGTCCCTTCCAAGTTAGGTAATAATTTACAAAGTTATTGCTCCTGCGTGCTGCATAATATTCCATTGTGTGAATGTACTATAATTTCTCAATCCATTAGTTTGTGGTTGGACATGTGTGCTCTTTCCATGTTCTTGTGATGGTGAATAATGCTGCTATGAACGTTGATGTACAAATCTCAATTTGTGCCTCAGTTCTCATATTTTCTGGGTATATTCCAAGTAGTGGAATAGCTGGATCATATGGAATTTCTATGTTCCGCTTTTTGAGGAAGTGCCCAACAGCCTTCCAGAATGGTTGCATCATTTACAAGTTAGCTTTTCATTCAGTCATCCAGCAAGCAAAACCTTTTAACTGTGGCTCCATCTCCAGAGTTCCTCAGGTTATACCTTATCACAGTCTCTTCACAGCAGTTCCATAGTCTCTTCACAGAGGTATTCTTTGAATTCAGCTGGGATATAATCAGCATTATATTTTGGCTTTCATGGGCTTTTTTCCCCTTCATACTTCCTGTTTTCTTCAGCTTCAGGTTGGAAATACATATGAGCAATTGATGATCATTTCTACAGTTGGCCCCTGGTTTTGTTCTGACTGATAATATAGAGCTTCTGCATTATCTTTTTCCACAGATGAAGTCGATTTGAATTCTGTATTCCATCTAGCAAGATCCACATGTAAAATTGCTGCTGTGTTGTTGCAAGAAAGTATTTCCAACAAATAAGGCATTGGCCTTGTAAAATTCTGTTGCATAATCTCCAATATAATTTCTGATACCAAAGCCTTATTTTCCAACTATGGATCCTTCTTTTTTGTTTCCAACATTTGCATTTCAATCACCAGTAATTATCAATGCATATTGATTGCATGTTCAGTCAATTTCAGACTGCAGAAGTTGATTACTGTAGCAATAACTATGTTCAGTCAGGATTGATTTTAATTTATAGATTGCTCTGAGTAGACCTAACAGTTTTAAGTCTCTCAGTCTATAAAAACAGAACATTTTTACTGCTTTTTATTTCTCTTTTATTCTTACCTTGAAAGGATAGTCCTTTGGGGTGGTGGGTCCCAGTTGAAAATGATCTTTAGAGAACCCTGGGCTTTGACTTTTGCCCCCAGTGAAAGTCAAAGAGTAGCTCAGTGTCGGTTGTTGTTGTTGTTCATTGTCATCACATTGATCTTGATTCATGTTGACCCTATGTATACAGAGTAGAACTAATCCATAGGGTTTTGAAGCTATGACCTTTTAGTTACAGATCACTTGGCCTGTCTCCTGGGGTACTTCTAGGTGGGTCCAAACTGCTGATTTTTCATCTAGTAGTCAAGTGTTTAACTATCCGTACCACCCAGGTATGGCCAAACCAGCAGGGCAGAAAAAGATGTCATTGGTTGTGAGCTGAGAACCGGTTAAGCCTTGTTTAATGTGCTGTCACTCCCCACCCATGGTTCTGTGTGCACAGTAGTCATTGGATTAAAAACGAAGCTTGGTGAACCTCATTGATAGCAGAGCAGCTGCCTGGCCTCCGGGTCCCCAGCCAAGCCACGGTTTGTCAATTTGTCTTTCAACTTTTCATTCTAGCCTGATTCAATGGTTTGAAACAGCACCAAGTCGGACCTGCCCACAATGCCGAATCCAGGTAAGGATTTTGTCATGGTACCGCCTCAGCTGAGAATGTCTTCTCCTTGCTAGGAAGCAGAAATGAGGAAAGATCTCTGAAATGGTGCAATGTTTCCATTTTTTGTGGACCCTTATGAAATGAGGCTAGTTGATCCTAAATTTCTATGCCTTTAAATGACTTTGGAGGCCTCTTACAATTCAAGGGTAAAAGGCAGACTTGTTGTCTCGTCCAATATTCACTTGGGTAGATTTTTACCACCTTTCCTACCTTTCTCCGGTTCCTCAATTCTCCAGCACCTCTGGTTGGAATAACCTGTTAGCTATCACAACATGAATCAGAAGTGACTTGACTTTAGCAACCACTAAACTAGCAGCCTTAGCTTGGGTCACCTGCATGGTTGAGAGGCCTCCTGGCTCTAAGTGATGTACAGTAAAAAGAAAACCTGAGCGCAGGCTTGGCAGACGTGTTCAGTAGGCAGTTGAACTCATGCACACTGTGTCTTCCTTTTCCATGATTTAGGCATATAATCTTCAGAGGCCTCTTACAATTCATTGGTAAAAGGCAGATGGACTAGTTGCCGGGCTCACTATTCATTTGAATTGATTTTTGCCACCTTTCCGACCTTTCTGTAGTTCCTCAACTCAACATCTAGAGTTGAAGCAACCTCCCTTTTGTTCTCCCATCCAGGTTGGCAAAAGAAGCATCATCAATAAACTCTTCTTTGACCTTGCTCAAGAGGAGGAGAATGTCTTGGATGCAGAATTCTTAAAGGTACCCAGAATTTGTCTTATCCCACTGAAGCTCAGGTCCTTTTGGAGTCATGCTCCATTCCTTCCCCCAAGGAGAACACCTAGAGCATAGAGATGGGCTTATTTTGAAAGATATGATAGTGAATTTCAAGAAAAAAGTAAAGAGAACAGAGGACAAGTGATGAAGGACAAGGTGAGAGATATCGTCATGAGCAATGTAGATTGCCAGGGAAAAGGGGGCTGCTCTACTACGGTCAGCTCTCCTGTTGGGAATTCAGGGCAGTTCTGACCCAAGGCAAACTGCTTTTCCCAAGGCCCCTACACTCTGCTGAAGATTGCAGCCGTCTTGCCAAAGCACTTTGCTGCTAATAGTTCTAGACAGATCAGAAAACTCTTACACTCAAGAAGTTTTGGGCTTCACTCTTCCCAGAACTGTGCCTTAAAACTGCCTGGTATATGTGGCAATGAATGAATGGAAATCCAAAACCTTTGTAAATGTCTATTAAAATTAATAATTTTTTTTAAAAAGGAAAAAAAACCAAAAAACCTGCCTGGTATAAATCCAGTTCCCTGTGCCATCCCCAGGTCAGGGATAGGAGACAGTGCCCCGGAGTCCAGATTAGTAACCAGGGTGGGAACCCACACGCCACAGATGAATGGGTTCCCTCCTACATTTCTGTAGAGTCTAAAATTTTGCTCTTTTTTTGCACAGCAGTACTGGCAGAAACTTCCCTGGGGATGTTGATATGGGTTGAGGGTTCACAAATGATCCCTGGGCTTTGAGGGTTAATTTGTTGTATCTCTCTGACTGTTCGGCCTGGCCGGAGGGTATTGTAATGTCCTTGGAAGATCCATTGCTGCTGACATGTGGGGTGCTTAGGCTTAAGTCCCAGCATATTTATCGTCATGGTAACTGCTCCTCTTTTTAAGTGGTGTGTCCTCCTGGTGATGAAAGAAACAAAGACAATTTCATAGCTTTCTGGCTTTCGAAGCCAGGTTGGGAAGGCAGGAAACATTTTAAGGCGCAAATGCTTAGAGGTCATCCAGCTCTCCACCCTGCTGATTAGGGCAGGAGGCATGGTTTTTGTGTAGTTGTGCAGCCACCTTGGGCTGGTGACTATTCTCAGGCGGCTCCTTCTACATATCTCCTACTTAACATCCATCTCTTGAGTCCAGAGGTACTGGTCTGGCCTCCAGAAGCTCTTGTCATATGTAGAGAGACTTTGACAGCAGGGAGTATGTCACTCCTTGAGACTGGACCTTAGTGTGGGTAACATGTGAGATTCTGAGTTGTATGTTGATCTGAGAAGGATAATCTGGAAGTGGGCACTGGGTTCCATGTCACTGCCACTGTGGAAATTGATCAAGCCTTTATTTCTAGAATTTGTGTGAGTGGAGTAAGTATCTTTCTTGCCCACAGTATCACCAATTATTCTGGACTCAAACTCTTTAATGGGAGATGGGTTGAGTTCTGCCCCAGCCTCTTCCTGGTTCTGCAGGTAGTGGCTCTTGAATGTACGTATGACAAATGTACGTACACAAAGCTCACTGATCCTCATAACAGTCTAGTTAGAACCTAGCACATACAGCGTTACTCAGTTATCTTGGTTCACCTGTCCCAGCCAGTGCCTCCTATTGAATTCTGTGGCTGGACGGTTTGTGGTACCCAAGGCCATCCTGGGGCTAGAGGGAGGTAGACTGTGAAGCAGGCCAGAAACTGAAAAAGGAGGAAGGATTCCTACCCAAGGTCCTTGACTGTACACCCTCTCTTTCCTTAATGAGTGCAACTTGTGATCAGAGAGAGTGAGGCTCAGCACAGGGTCAAGAAAGCAGTGGAAGTCTGTTGTTGAGAGAGATCACTTGAGTCTAGTTTTTCTTCTCTGCATCTTCTACCATTTTTCCTGTCGTGAGTTCTTGATCCTGAAATTATGAAGACCCATGTTGTTATTGTTGTTTTGTGTTGTTGAGTTGGAACCAACTCATAGCTAACCCTCCAGTGTATTTTCAGAGGCAATAAATAGCACAGAAGATTGCCCATCCTTCTCCCATGAAGCAACTGGTGGCACCTCGTGCCTTTTGGAACTGCAGTGCAGCTTCTTACCACTATGTCACCAGAGTGGTGGTGTTATGTGCCATCAAGTCACCCGTGACTCATCGTGACCCTATGTACAATAGCTCTTAACTCTGCCCTGACCTGAGCCAGTCTCACAGACTTCGACACACCTAATCCCATTGCCCAAGTTACCATGTCAATTTGTCTTATCTGGGTTCTTCCTCTCCTGTGCTATCCCTCTGCCCTTCCAAGCATGAGGTCCTTCTCCAAGGACTGGTCTTCCTGGCCATGTGCCCAGAATATATGAGACAGAGCTTCAAAATCCTTGCTTCCAAGGAGAAACTTGGTTTCATCTTCCCCAAGACAGACCTATTTGTTATCTTGGCGGTCCATGGTATGTTCAGTACTCTTTTCCAGCACCGCAACTCAAAAACGTTGATTTTTCTGTCATCCTTGGTTATTGGTCAGCTCTCTGATACATAGCATGTAATTGCGAAGCCTGTGGCCTGGATCAGGCGCACCTTAGTCTCTAGACTGACATCATTGTTCTTTAGCACTTTGGTGAGATCTTTGACAGCAGGTTTTCCCAGTGCAATTCGTCTTTTGATTTCCTGACTGCTAGTGCCAAGAATGTTGATTGTGGAGCTGAACAAGCTAAAATTGTTAACAACCTCAATCTCTTCTCCATCCATCATGATGCTGCCAATTGGGTCAGTGGTAAGAATCAAGATAAACAATATTTGGCACTCTTAATGTATAGAGGGGTCTGTGCTTCTCTGGACCTACAGGCTTCATTGTTTCTTTCTGGGACTCTTCAGCTTTAAAGGAGGCCATGTGGAGGCTGGCGATAATGTCTTCTTACAACTTACTGTGGCTATTACCTTGCAGAATGAACTGGACAATACCAGAGCCCAACTTGCCCAGAAAGGTATGTTAGCAAAACATCAGAGGCTTTGAAGCCCTTGACTTGGTGCTAGAGGAAGGGGTCATGGGAGGAAAGCCTCCAGCTTGATGGCAGACCTGGGATTCTTCCTGTTTTGTCCATGAATCTTGTTTGCTCCTGTAACTGTCAGAAAAGGGCGATGATTAAAGCTGGCTACCTAGACCAGGTGAACTTCTTGTTTAAAATCCAAGCTAGGAGATGGGGATACATGATGGAGTAGAAAACCTGCAAGAGAGGGCCTAACTGCTGGATTTAGTAGGAACCTGCATAAGTTTTAGATTGAGGAAATAACTAGGTCCATGGGAGGAGGGAGCTTTGAAATGTTTTTCCCAAGTAGTTCCAAGCAGCAGAAAGAGGATCTTATCCCCTGACGAAAGAGGCTCTGGCTCAGCGACCTTAATTTGGTGCATGCCAGAGAGGGGAGCGCACAGCCCAACTTTCTGACCTGAACCCTGAAATCATTTAGCTTGTGAGTGGGCTGCTTGAGCCCAATCTCTTACGCTAATGGACGAACCACCCTTCCTTTTTGATCCTTTTTGCAGAGAAGGAGAAGCGAGACAGCCAAGCTATCATTGACATGCTCCGAGACACACTGGAAGAGCGCAACGCCACTGTTGAATCTCTACAGCAATCCTTAGACAAGGCTGAAATGCTGTGCTCCACCCTCAAGGTGGGTCCCCAGGGCCTCTGTTCAGAGCTGGCAAGGACGTCATCCCCATCTTGGACTCATCATTCTGGGTTTAGCTTTGAATTCTTTCTTGGTCAGTATTTTGGTCTGTGCAGCTGTAAAATTGGAAGCAAATCCCTTTTCCCCCAGGTCTGCCATACTGGATCCATCCAGCCCACCATAAGAAAAGGGCCCTGTTGGATTTTGTGTGAGGTAGTCCAGAGAAATGAGGCCTTCTCAGTGCTTTAAGGAGGGGCTGTTCAGATATGACCTTAGTAAGGCTGGGCCACATTTCCAAAAGTGGTTCACACTCTACTGATGAGGCCGGCCTGAAGAGCCTTCCATTAGCACTCCAGTCCTTGGCTGGGTTGCTCTCTGGAACCAGATCAAACAGCATCCCAGGGAGAAGCAGGAGGCTTTGAAGTCGGCTGTGCCGAGCTGACTGGGCAGATCAAAGCCTGCCGAGCAAGCGGCCCCAGACCCAGATGAATTTTGTATCAACCTGGGTTGGTGAGCCTCTTGCTCTCCAAGGGGCATGCGGCTATTGATCTGAACCTGTGATTGATATTCTGGCCTCGCAGGCAGGAGCAGCCCTTGCTGGGTGCCATTTGAAAGGGAAAGGGAGCCGTCTTTGTGAACAGACAAGGCCGCAGGATGTTCATTGTCTCTGCTTCTGCTCAGGAGCTGGGCTGGATCATGTGGTCTGGCTGGTGGGCGGGAGGTAGCAAGGAGACTAGCACCTGCTACAGAGCACACATCTCTGAAGGTATTCCCAGGTCAGTGGAGTGGGTTTGTGCTGGGGCAGCCTGGCCGGCTGCCTCTGCTTCAGCTCTCCTATCCTGATAACTGTCTGTGTGTCTAGATAGTGGATGATGAGGCCTGAGCTGTGCTCCAGACAGTCCAGGGGAACACAGCAGCCCACCTCATACCTATAGATGCTGGCAGTGGGCTGTGCTGTAGTAAGAACTCAGAGGGAAGCAGACATGGGGATGAGGAAGCAGCTAGCTGGTCCAGGGCTTCTCAGGAGAGTAGATCCCAGGAGCCTTTCCTTCTGGGGACTGGGGACACATGGTTATCTGCACTTTCAAAAGATGTAGAGCAGACAGTTCTAGGATAGAACTCTTCTAGGGACCTTACCCATGGCCCACTGGGAGTCTTCATGCAACAGGTGTAGGTATGATTTGTTCTGCAGAAGCAGATGAAGTTCTTGGAACAGCAACAGGAGGAGACTAAGCAGGCACGAGAAGAGGCCCGCCGACTCAGGAGCAAGATGAAGACCATGGAGCGGTGAGCTTAGAGTCAGTTCCTATCCCAGGACACCCACGTGGCACAACTCTTAGGACTGCCTTAGGGAGTGGGGTGATCTCCAGAGGCTTAGGAGGCTCTGACTAGCTGCAGATAGGCAGATGTCTCCTTGCTCGGCCTCTGTGGGCTTCTCCACTTCCATCAGGGTCTCTGCCACACTCCTCCCTATCCCTGCTGCTCATGAGCAGATGAGCCCTTTCCCTCGAGAAACTTCTCTCTGGGGATCCTTAACCTTGAGGTCTTCTGCTAGCACCCTTTTCTCTTCAGCAGCATCCCTGGAACTGTGCTCAGCTTTGCTGTGGGGCCTGTCTTTGAGCTGAAGCATCCTAGCAGCTGAGACTGTCACTATAGCAACGGAAGCAAGGGGAGGCAGAGCTGCACTGGGTATCTACTCATAAGCCTCCAGATCTCAAATGCCGTGGGCCGGATGTTTTTCAGGATTGAGCTCCTACTCCAGAGCCAGCGGCCCGAAGTGGAGGAGATGATCCGAGACATGGGCGTGGGACAGTCAGCAGTGGAGCAGTTGGCTGTGTACTGTGTGTCTCTCAAGAAGTATGTTCTCTGGCCCCTCTCTCCAAGTCCAGAAGCCAGGCCATGTGGCCCCAGCTATGCTTTCCTTTCTGTTGCTCATCTCTTACAAAACAGAACAGATGGAGTTAAGATGCAGGCTTGGGAGCCCAGAGGACCTCAGTTTGAGCTCTGACTTCACTTCATATGAGCTGTGTGGCCTGGGGCCAGCTTCCTAACCTCTCTGACCCTTCAAGACCACTTCATAGAGTTATCAAAGGAGCTAAGTGGATCTAAGAAATATTTCTTTGTAAGGGGATTGTCAGCTCTTTAAACTACAAGCTCCATCGTTATGTCTAGAGCTTATTTCCCATTACCACTGTAATTTATTTAATCACTGCCTGATTTAAATCGGAAACTTAGCGTCTCCACTTCTGCATTCCACATCTCAGCAGCAGTAGGGCCTCTGGTAGGTCTGTGGTGGATTTAAGTTAGCGAGGAGGCAGTCATTTAGCTGATAGGCTCTAAGAGTACTAGATATCTTCTGTGTGGGCCAGTACGTATTTCCCGGCCTCTGCTGAGCCCAGGTACTAGAGGAGAGGTAGAGTGAGTTGAGAGCTGGTGCTGCTCTTGTGTTATGTGGGTGCTGTCGCTCAGACTGACTGGCAGGACAGCATCCTGATCTTTCTATGGCTGGTTTGCAGAGAGTATGAAAACCTAAAAGAAGCTCGCAAAGCCTCAGGAGAGCTGGCTGAGAAGCTGAAGAAGGACTTGTTTTCTTCCAGAAACAAGGTAACTTAGTGGGAAGAGAAGGTGAAGGGAGAGAGGTCTGGTTTTGTTTTTTATTTATTGTTTTCTTTATGTTTGATAATTTTTTATTTTTCAATCCATACCTTCAGTCACTTCTTTTTTTTTTCCATTTTTTTAATTATTAATTTCAATGAACATCTACAGAGATTTTGGAATTCCATTCATTCATTGTTGCACTTTTCTCCCCACCACCCCCACCCCCACCCACAGTTCGTGCCTCTCCTTGAAAAGCAAAAGAAAAACTCCTTCATTGGTACACAGTCTCCCCCCTGTACACCCCCATCCCCACCCCCAACCCAAGTATACTCCACTCTGCAACCCTCATTCCGAACTCTTAAGATAATCATAATGAGAGGCCTGTTTTTTAAAGTAACTTTCCTTTTGTCATTCTAACTTGGGTCTCCTGAGCGAGGCCTTGGACTTGAGGGTAAACCGTCCATGAGATTGCTGGCTGACTTGCAGGAGCTGGCCCTTACTGGGTCTTGTGGTTAGTACATTTGAGGGACAAATCATAGAAATACTCCCCAGGATCCCCCAACATATGCACACTTTCTCCCCTCTGCTCTTCCTACACCTGGACACCTCGCAACTGGCTGGGACACAGGTCTCAAATGTACCAGCTATAGAGGCCTGTCTCTGTATCAGACCTGGAGTGGGCAGTCTTCTGGGATTTGATTCAGTTAGTATAGCTGGCTTCACTTCTGGACATGATGCATTCGTGGATGGCAGGGCTTAGAAAATAGCTCCTACTCTTAGGTAGCTCCAGAGGCGCTTTGCCGGACTGAGACCTGGTACCAATGGGCTGGACTTGCTTCCCCCTCCTGCTCCCTAGTCTTTTCCAGACCCTGAACTATGCTGACCACACACTGAGGAGGAACAAGTCTTCCGGAGTAGATAAGCACTCCATGCTCCATCCTCCACTCCCTGTGTTTTCTTGTAGTTGAAATCAGTCTACTCTGAACTGGACCAGGCCAAGTTGGAACTGAAATCGGCCCAGAAGGACTTACATAGTGCTGAGAAGGAAATCACAGTGAGGAGCATTCCTGTCCTGAAAGGAATGAGGATGGTCTTTGTGCCCTCCGAGAACTGAGCGGGGCCCTCTGTATCCTCCTGGGGCAGTACAGATCTGGGTAGACATCTTACACTCTAGCTGGTGCTTGCTTGGAGAGCAGACAGAAGCCTGTCTCTTCCCTCACTGTCTCTCCTCCATCCCAAGGGTTCTTCCTGTAGGAAAGGTCCCGCCAGGGAAGAGGCTCTGAAGCCCGGGGTCCTCACCTCCTCAGTCTAGTGCTGGGGTGTTAGGCTTTGGTGTATCTGCCTTTCTTGCAGGCTGTCAGTGACCTCTGGATTTGGTGTCTTGGCTGTTACTCTTCTCTAACATCTCTCTCTTTTTCCCCCTAAGAGCCTGAAAAAAAAGCTAACTATGCTGCAGGAAACGCTGAACCTACCCCCGGTGACTGTCGAGACTGTCAACCGCCTAGTCTTAGAAAGGTTAGTTTGGCCTCTTGGCTAGGTCAGAGGTCACAAACTCCTCCTTTTATAAGTCTTCACTCCTTCTGATTTTAGGGGTCTGGGTGACAGACACCTCCTGTCCTTAAAGCCAGTCATATTTTATCTGGAAAGCAACTTCAGGTACCAGCACTGTGACGCAGAGGGGCCAAGGTAGACCAGAAAGGAGCTGGGAATGGTCTGAAAAATGTACAGGAGCACACTGAATGAATGTATTGTAACATCTCATTTATGAAGTGACTCACCAAATAGAGCATTGTCTCTTGCCTCAAATTATGAAATAAACATGAAACTACACTGAAATAATTTCCCTTTGGGCCAGGAACATATGCTTTAAAGCCACCAGCAGAGGGAGCCAAAGTCAGAAGAATGGACTGTCCACCATACCTCTTCCTGAGTGTTTCAGACCCCATCTGGCTTAGAGCATCCGAGGATGTGGCCTATCATGAGTACCCCAGCTCATCTCAGTGACCCAAGCTTTTATTAGAGTCACTTTTTAACTTTTTTTCCCCCCTAAATTTTATTATTTTTTGTCTGTACCGTCAAATCAGATCTGACTGGTACAGGAGATTGTCCCTCCTTCTCCAGCAGAGCATCTGGTGGATTCGAACCGCGAACCTCTGGTATTGTAGCGTAGCTTCTTGCCACTAGGCCACCAGAGCTCCCTAGAGTCACTTTTTAACTTTTAAAGATTTTCTCTAAAATGTTAATACTCCTTCCTGCCTCCATGCAGTCTGTTCTTTGAGCCTGCCCATCCAGCCTCTTGAGGATTCCTAGCCATGTTGACATGAGGCTGTGGTCCGTGCCTCTGCGTTTCTTGTCTGCCCAGAGCACCAGCCCTGCTGAGGCTTCCTTAAAACACCGCTCTGGACATCATTCCATCCCCCAAACACCACTCAAGCATCTTGGCTTTGCTGGACGGCTGAGTCTTCAGACTGGGGAAGCATCAGAGCAAAGACACAGTGGTGGGCGGGAAGACATGGACTGCCCCTGCTCTGTTTGACAGGGTGGTCTGGCCGAAGCCTAGAGATAAGCTGCTGTCCACAAGGTTGGCTCCATAAATGCCTTTGATATAGTACTGAGGGTTTGGAAGGTGCTGGAGGCTGGCGTGTCATCAGTTTGGTGACTGTTAGCCTAGATCTCTTGTTTTACTAATGGTGGAGACTCTCATGAGACATACACTGCAATATGGAGTGATTTTGAGGTTTGTTTTTAGATGTTCCTTGATACTTTGATGCTATTCTGTAATTCTTAAAATATGATTACCTAAAAGGCCTGGTTAAAATCCTTGGCTGTTAACCTAAAGATAGTTGTTCAAACCTACCCAGCTTTTCTATGAGAGAAAGATGGGCAGTCAGCTTCCGTAAAGATGTAAAAATCTATATGGAAGTTCTCACTCAAAGGCAGTAGATTTGGAGTGGAAGACCTTGGAGATGTTTCTACAACATCTGTTAGCACACAGAGATCCGTATTATTCTTCCTGCCAACCAGTATCTAAGGAACAATAAACCTTGTCTACTTAGGCATCCTCTGATATTCAAGGTAGTCCTGGTTCTCCAGGCTGACAGAGAGCCCTAGAGGGGACCCCCTAAGATATGAGGGAAAAGTATCCTGGTAAGTCTGCCTTGTGACTTCCTAGATCCTGCCCGGAGTTAGAACCACTATTTCCTATATCATATGTCTCTCTAGCTTTCTTTTTTTAAATTTTCTCACTTTGTTGGAGTTCTTCTTAAAATAATTCCTAAGGAAGAGAAGAGCTTGGCTTCAGGACAAAATACCTTTGCTGCTTTTAGCTTTAGGTAGCCAATTTGAGTTTGAATGAAATTTAATCTTCCTCTGAATCTTAAAGGCCTTGCTTTCCAGTTGCCTCTGATACAGTACTGCCTCTGAGAAATTGATGCCCATCTAACTTATTTTTTAAATATAGATTAAAGAACCTTTGCCAGTTCAACACTTTTCACATGTATATTTTAGTGACACCAATTACCATTAATCATGTTGTACAACCATCACCAATTATCTATTGCCAGATTTTCCATCATCATAAACAGAAACTCTGTGCTTCCCAAATAGTGCCTCCCCTTCTTCCTCTCCTGTCCCTGGTAACCACTAATACACTTAGGTCTCTGTTTGCCTATTCCAGATATTTAATATAAGTGAGATCATACAATATTTATTCTTTTGTGAAAACACTCAGCATAATGTTTTCAAGGCCAGCCATGTTCTAGCTTGTATCAGAACTTCATTTCTCTGCAGGGCTGAGTCATAGTCCATTGTGTGTTATGTACCACCTTCCCTTTATCCACTCATCAGCTGATGCACAGAAAGCGTGTTTCTTCCTTTTGACTATTGTGAATAGTGCTGCAGAGGACATGAGTGTATCGTCTTATTCTTGGTCCTTTCATAAATGAACCTATTTTCCATCTCTGGGTGGTGTTGAGTCCTTCTTTGGTCTTTGTCTTCTGTGATTTCACCATGTTGTGTCTGGAAGGGTTTTTTTCCCCTCTATTCATCCTGCTCGGCTGTTGGCAGGTTTGTTCAATGTGAGCACCTGAGTCTTCCTTCAGTTCTAAGAACTTTCTTGCCTTTGTTTTCGAGCATCCCTTGCTCTTCAGTTTCTCTGGCCTGTGAACTCCTAGGTTTGATGAGTTGATGTATTGTGTTTTTGTCTTCAGACTCACTTCGGGGAACATTTCTTACTTTTTTCCTTAGATTTGTTTTTACTTTAGCAATCACATTGTGCACTCTAAGAGATTTTTCTTTATTTAATTTGAATGAAAGTTTATAAATCAGATTTTTCATTCGATCATGCACTTTTTATTTTATGACATTGTAATTAAAATTTCATTCAACCATTTGTACCCGTTTTGCTTTATAACATCAATTGTAATGTTGTTGTTGTTGTTATGTGCCATCGAGTCGCTTGTGACTCATAGCGACCCTATGTACAATAGCCCTAAACTCTGCTCTGTCCTGTGCCAATCACACTGTCTCCGACACACCCATCCCTACTACCCCAGTCACTGAACCAATCCACTTCATAGAGGGCCTTCCCCTCCTGCACTGTCCCTCCACGCTCCGAAGCATGATGTCCTTCTCCAAGGACCGGTCCTTCCTTACAACATGTCCAAAGTATGTTAGACAGAGCCTCAGAATCCTTGCCTCCAGGGAGCCACCTGGTTTAACCCTTTCCAAGATGGATCTGTTTGTTTTCCTAGCAGTCCATGGTACCCTCAACACTCTTCTCCAGCACCACAGCTCAAAGGCATCAATTCTCCTTCTATCCTCCTTAGTCACTGTCCAACTCTCTGATGCATAACAAATGATAGCAAAGACCATGGCCTGTATCAGACGCACCTTAGTCTCCAGAGAGATACCATTGCTCTTTAGTACTTTGGAGAGGTCCCTAACAGCAGACTTTCCCATGGCAATATGTCTTTTCATTTCCTGGTTACTGGTGCTGAGAGTGTTCACTGTGGAGCCGAGCAAACTGAAGCTGTGAACAATCTCAATCTCTTCACCATCCATGCTGATGCTGCCAATTGGTCCAGTGGTGAAAATCTTTGTCTTCTTGACATTGAGCCTCAATCCATATTGGAGTCTGCAGTCCTTGACCCTCTGCAGCAAGCGCTTCAGGCCCTCCTCATTTTCAGCAAGCAGAGTTGTGTCATCTGCATAACGCAGATTGTTGATGAATCTTCCACCAATGTTGACACTGCAGTTCTCCTCATAGAGCCCAGCCTCCCGGATAATCTGTTCTGCATACAGATAATACAGTCGACTGAATGGCACATAATAATAGTGGGATTGCTAGGGAGCTCTGGTGGCCTAACAGTAAGAAGACACATTGCAATGCCAAAGTCACATAGTTCAAATCCACCAGCAACTCCCCAGAAAGATAAGTAAGATAAGTAATCTCCTCCTGTGCGATTAACTACCTGTGAAAACCCACTGGAGGGTCAGCTCTGGGTCAGTGCCAACCCAACAGCACACAACAACAACAAAAACAATGGAGTTATTAGGGAGCTCTGGTGGCCTAACGGGTAAGGAGTTGTGCTGCCAACCCAAAGGCAGGCAGTTTGAATCCATCAGCTACTCAGTAGGAGAAAGATGGACAATATCCTCCTATGTGGTCTGTAGCCTCTGAAAACCTGCTGAAGGATCAGCTCTGAGTCAGTTCCAACGTGATGACACCTCACAACAACAGTGGGATTGCTAGATCAAATGGTTTTTCTGTTTTCAACTTTTAAAGAAGCACCGGACACCATATTGCATTCTACCAACAGTGTGTGAAAATTTCAGTCTTTACACCATTGCCAACATATGTTGTTTGCTGTCTTACTGAACTTTGCTGTTGTTGCAGGAGTGGGGTGATAGGTCACTGTTGTTTTGATTTGCAAGAGTTTTTTTTCTTGTTGTCTGCATCTTTTGCAAAATACACTGTTCTTTTTCTTTGGTCTCACATCTCCCTTTCTCCCAGGGTCAGTGTTTCTGCATTTTGTCCTTTCCCTTGGGCTTCCCTCCCAAACCAGGGGATTCTCGGCTGCCTTTGACCTTTTCACGTGGAGGTGATGGGATGGCTCCCTAGAAACTTGACCTGTGTGCACAAGGTTTGAGAAGAGTAATAGCAAGCTGGCACTTTATGCTGTCTCTTACCTGGATCAAGGATGCAGAGAACTTTGCTGCTTGGTCTAATCCTGGCTGTTCTGGATTACTGTAGATGGGTTTCTTAGTGTCTGTGAGACAGGCCCTTCTGTTTCTCAGCCTCGGGTAGTAGACTGACTGCCTGCTTTTCCACTAGACATAGGAAAAAAGTGGTGCTTCATATTTTCCATCAGTTTTCAAGCCCAATTAATGCTCCTTCTGAGAGACCAGCGCTCTACTGCTTCTCCCTTCTATTCTCAAACCACCCTTTTTCCTCCCTGGGTGCCCTGGCTGCTGGCTTAGTGGGCAGTCCCTTGTCCTCTGGCCACACTCTCCCTTCTCAGAGTTCTGTGAACATTTCTCAATGTCGTTAATAAAAATAGTAATGGCCTGCTTCATTTGTTATAATCACATTATCCTTCACCTCTGCCGTTTTAGAGATGCCTCAGGAGGGAGCAATAGCATTTGCGCCTCCTCCCCAGAAGAGGTGTTAGGACAACTTCTTTCATGAATCCTAAGAACTCCTGAATCCCAGACTCAAACAAGTTGAGAACTCTGTTTAGAATAGGTCTGCCAGGAAGAGCCAGGAGTTCATGAAGATATTGACTGATCCTGCTACAAAGGTGATGGGTCTGCCCAGGTCTTTAACTTTGCTTTGGAAAGAGGGGCTTTCAGAGTCCTGTGCTGCCTCCTAAGTGCTCTGGCATGACCCTATTAGTTGACTGTAAGTGAATGTCCTCAGATTAGACCCTAAATAAGTGAGGAAGAGGTTAATGGTTCTGTTTCTCCCAGTAGGCCAGACAGAAGATGGGAAAGAAAGAAGGCTGACACTTGGTAATAAAAAACCAAAACAAAACAGAATTCACGAAGCATGTCTATACAAAGCAGTTGTAGGTGTGAGAAGTCAGGTAGGCGCTGGGAGAACCTCTTGGGTTTAGTACTGTGGATGTCTGGCACATACAAGTAAAGAAGACTGGCCTGGCTTGACACATAGCTGGGCATGTGCATTGGGCAAGGCCCAAAAGAATAATGGCAGCAGAAAGTAGCCAAAGTCGATAGGTTCGAGACCCTGTCCGCCTCTTAGGTGTGCCTCTCCAGAACGGGACTGCCCTCGCCGGGGTTGGTAATTGGTGGTAGAATGGGTTCTACTGTGAAAAGATGGTGTAAGTAGTCCTGGAGGCTGCCTTCATGGTGGCTCCCAAAGGGAGAAGCCAGGCTTCTGGCATCATATGTGGAAGTGAGGTGGATTTGTGTAGCCTTTGTTTCTTCTTGAGGGCAGAGAAAGACAGTTTCCAAGGGCCAGGCTGGGTAAAGGAAGAGATAGCGGCAGCTTCCCAGATAACTTACCCACCCGTCAGTGTGAATCATTTCCTTTCCCTTCACCTGCATGCTCTGGTCCCCCTCTTAGTGGCTTGCTCTGGAGATGGACACACCCACAATGCAGCCCTCTTCTTGACCTGTGGGAATAAAGCATATCCCTGAGGGACCTGAAGGAAGGAGGGGAGAGCATGTCCTTGAGGTGACCTCTGCCACCCCCCAGAGTCCTCTGCAGACTGCAGTAGCTGTGGACCTCCGCCAGTCCTGCATGGGCTGGAAAAATCCTCTTGGCTGGTTTACAAGCAAGGCATTATCGCAGAGGTAGTCACTGTTGGCATATGGTATGTTTCCGGCCAGTCCTTTTTCTGTGAGGGGTGTATTTATACCAAACCATGTGATTGTGCTATACATAATCTGGTGTTACTTTAAAAATTTAACATATGAGTGGTTTTCCATTATTAAATTTACTCTCCATAAATACCACTTTAATACTTATATTGTATTTAAGCCATGGAAATGCCTGTCTTCCAGGGGAGTCACTTCCACGGGCTGTACTGTTGTGCACTTTACCATGATAACACTGCTGGGGGATCCACTGTCTGTGAGCCACTTGATTAAAAGGCAGTTCTTTTGTTTATATGTTTGGGTTTTGTCTGGCTTTTTGCTTGCTCCCTCCTAGATCTTCTAAAATTTCACTGATCACATGACTGTGTAAAAGTCTGAGTCAAGTCGTTGATTCTATAGAGATGAGGTTTTCTTTGTGGGATGAACCTGTGCAGGAGTAGCTGCCCCTGAAGCTGAACCACTATGGACACGTGAAGGGTACTTGTCATTCCCACTACTTCTATAGTATTGAGTGACCAACCATCTCTCCTCTCAGCCCTGCTCCTATGGAGATGCTAAAGCTGAAGCTCCGCCGGCCAGCCGTCAGTGATGACATTGACCTTGATGCCACCTTTGATGTGGACACTCCCCCAGCTCGGCCCTCCAGTTCTCAGCATGGCCTTGTCAAAAAGCTCTGCGTGGAGAAGGCACAGTGAGTAGCCAACCCTGATTCTGTGTGTGGTCCAGAGATACCTCTGCAGGTCTTACCTCTGCAGGTCTTGCCCTGAGAGTTCTAAGTGGCTGATGGTGGGTGGAGCAGTGAGAGCAGTGCCTGGATTTGACTATGACCTTGATTTCCAGATGCTTTTCGTTTCCTGAGCACTCACTCTTTGCAAAGCCCTTCTCTTGTTTGTCTCATTAATCTTCAAAGATGCTGAGGTGACAGTGGAGGGAACACAGATTTCCACTGGTAGTGGGTCTGGGCTGGCAGGGTTGAGAGAGTGCGCCACTAACTCTGCCCACCAGGGCCCTGCACTAGATGTCTGAATTTCTTCTTTGTCTGCTCCTGAGGCTTATGCTGGAGTAGGGGTGAGGGTGGAACACTCATCTCAAACCACAGAGCAGATGTGGCTGTCTACCTGTTCCCAGAACTGCACTTGAGATGGGGGTCCCTGAGGTGCCTCACTCAGCACACAGCCATGACAGCACCCACGTCACACAGTGACTTCCAAGGAGCATGCACTGAGCCTGGCTCACCTGCTCCTTGCTTTGATGCCTCCCTTTTGCAGCTCTCCTGTTCGGGATATCCCCAAGAAGAAGCCTAAAGTTCCCAAGCAGGTAAGAGCTTCTCAGAAACATCAGGGACCATCTAATCCTCCCCAGGACAGGATATGAAATTGGATTTCTGGGAAGGCAGAGTTGTGCACTTCAGCGTCACTCTTGGAACCCTCCTGTTATCCTTTCTGCCTTGTAGCACCTCATCAGAGATCTTGATCCTGTTCTCCCACACTGTCCCCTAGTCAGCAGCCCTGATCTCCTTTGCTGACATTGGACTCATTAGGTCCTGCCCTAATGTCTCCCTTGCAGGACTGTCAGCTCTCTCTGGGTGGCCAGAGCTGCATGGGAGAGCCAGATGAAGAACTGGCTGATGCCTTCCCTGTCTTCATCCGGAATGCCATCCTGAACCACAAACAGTCCAAGAGGACCAGGGCAGAGTCCTCTCGCAGCACAGATGCAGTGAGTGTGGCTTTCCACAGGTGGCAGATGGCAGCTCCCTGGCAGCTTGACCTGGGCCCATTCACTTCTTCCTTTTGCCCTAGGTAAGGACAGGCTTTGATGGACTCGGTGGACGGACCAAGTTTATCCAACCTGTATCCTTGTTCTGTGGTCCTGGGCTGGGCTGAGATGAGTTGTAGAGCCTCTGCCTTCCCTCACTGGCCTGCTAAGACCTGCAGCCTCAGGGATGCAGGGGCTGGGCCTTGCTCAGTGTACCAGGACTGTCTACCTCCAAGTCTAGACTTCCTGTCTGTTCCATTCACCTCTCCCTCCAGGCATCTTCCTTGACATCAATCCAGACTAACTCAACTATGATTCGCCCACTGCCTGTCAAGACCAAGGCCAAGGCTAAACAAAGAATGGAGATGAAAACAGTGATCTCTTCCTCCCAGACCAAGTTAGACACTTTCCTGAGGTAGTTTAATGGCTCTAACCTTGGCCCTCTTGGGCTAGGGCAAGAACAGTACATCTGATTAGTGGCAGGCTACATGACTCCAACTTGTAGTCCGAGGACTGGCCAGTCAGGGTCACTGGACAGCAGCTCCTATTCCAGGACCAGCCTTAATGCCTGGCAGATGGGTATGAAAGTGGGACCAGAGGCTGAATTTTTCCTGCATTCATCCTATCCCAGCCTCACTGTACTAGTTCTTCCCGTGGGAGGTAAGGTGACCGCTCATTGTTCCTGCCACTTGGTTCTGCTCCTGGATCTATGCTCCTGTTGATCGCCATGATCAAATATAGCTGAACCACTTCTGGTCCTAGGGTCTCATGTTGACAAATGGACCAAAAAGTGTTTGAGACTTCTCAGAGAGCCTCAGGCTAGGGGCCCTGCCTAGCTCCAGCTCTTTGCCAGGCATGGCCTGAGTCAGGCTTGGTGAAGTTGATGTGGTTGGTAGGGAAGAGTACAAGGAACAATTTGTATGTAAAATAAAAGGATGAAAGCTGTTCTGGCTCTGGAATGTAAATATGTACCAATATTTATAGAACTTCAACCCCTAGAAATGTTCCCGCTCACAGAGAATCTAACAAGAATGAAATCTGCAGCTTTGTCCTCTAACCTGGACATTCCGCAGAGGCTGTCAGCTTCTTACCAAGAAGCAGACTGAATGAGTCTGTCCAGATAACTCACAAGTCAGCACAGCAAATAACCAAGGACACTCCCCCTAACCCCCACCTCTTGACTAACAACCAAATTCCTAGCTTTTGTTCTGAGCTCAAAGACACTTTTCCATAGAGGACTTCCACCCTTGACCCCTAATCTTGATGAAGTCCCCTAAATGTCTGTTCTTCTGCCAGAGGTCAGAAAATTCACTGATTTCCTTTATAGTACAGAGTGGGCCTTACAGCTAGTGAGATGTTATGGATTGCCATTGAGTTAATTCCCATTGTTGGTGGTTTGAGATGTGTAGAGATTTGTGCTCCATAGTCATTTTCCTTTTTTTGTATAACTTTAAAATTTTATTTTTATTTATTTATTTTAATTTGCATATAGGTTTACTAATCATTACTTTTTTCATTCAGTCGTTCATAGACATAACATGAATTGTAATTGATGAATATAATTTATTGTAATGCAAGCAAACCCTTATTGTATGTTGTATTTCCATTTACTATTTATTACCTTCACTCCCTTCTACCTCTTAGCTCTGCTAACCATCCAAGGTTAGTTTTGTGTGTTAACCTTTCCTTAGCTTTTCTAATAATGGTCTGATACGTGACTTACTTATCTTGATAACTTTTTAGTGATGCATAGTACTCCGTAGTGTAATGTACCATAGTTTCTTTGGCCATTTGTCCATCAGTAGACACTATACTTGTTTCCAGTTCTTCGCTATTGTAAATAATGTGGCAATAAACATAAGCATGTGTATGTCAGTTTGTGTGACAGCTCTTATTTCTTTGGGATACATACATAATCATGAGATTGCTGGGTCAAAAGGTATTTCTGTTCTCAACTTTCTAAGGAAGCACCAAACTGCTTTCCATAATAGTTGCACCATTTTACATTCCCACCAGCGGTGTATGAGAATTGCAACTTCTCTACACCCTCGCCAGCATCTGCTGTTTGCCTTCTTATTTAATATTTTTGCTGCAGTAAGGTGATATCTTTGTTGTTTTGATTTACATCTCTTGGAGGCAAAGATGATGAAGCTTCATCTCACATATTTTGGGCATTTTGTTAGAGGAGGGACCAGTCCTTGGAAGAGAGACATTATCCTTGGAAAGGTGGAGGGCCAACAAAAGAGAGGAGGACCTTAGAAGGATTGTTGACATAGTGACTCAAGTATCTCAGTCATGGTGAAGATGGCGTGAGACAGGGCAGGGTTCAGATCTCTTGGTCATGGGGTGGCTGCAAGCCATAATCAACTTTTTAGCACCCAACAACAAAATAGCTACCGGTGGCCTAGTGGTAAGAAGCTGTGCTGCCAACCTAAAGGCATGTGTTCTGAATTGACCAGTTGCTGCGCTGAAGAAAGGCCAGTAATCTCCCATGCAATTTACTTAATCTCTGAAAGACTTCTGCAGAGTCAGCTGTGAGTTGATCCCTACTCAAGGGCATCAGTTCTCCTATCATCCTTAGTCTCTGTCCACCTTTCTGATGCATTATGAAGACTGTGATCTGGATCAGGCACATCTCAGGTCTTACATAAAAATGTTAAAGAATACATATGCATACATAAACCCCTCTTAGAGCTAATAAAGTATTTCAGCAAAGCTGCAGGATACAAAATCAAGTGTAATTCTCCACGCTAACAATGCACAATCTGAAAATGAAATTAGGACTATCACCAATAGCATCAAAATATAGTCCAAATGAAATATAACCAAGAAGGCACAAATGTGTATGCTGAAGAATACAAAAATACTGCTGAACTTTCCAACCTGGTACCAGCACAATGGCTCCTACAAACGAGAGAGGTAAGAGGAAGGACCATCCTGGAACCCCAGTTTTGGGGGACATCAATGTCAGTTAGCTTAGCATTGTCCACAGAAACAATGCTCTACATACTATTCTGGTAAATAGTCATCTTCGGTGCAACTATTTGTCTCTCCCTGTCCAGAACAAGATAAAAACTATGATGTCTGCCCAATGGATTAGTCCAATGGACTAATGTGCTTGAACTTCAACTTTCACAAGACCAGAAGAACTAAATGGTATTGGCTAGCCCAGCTGACCACTCTAAAAGGGATTACAGTAGAAAGTCCTGGGTAGAGTGGGGGTGGGGGTGAGAAATGTGAAGCAAAGCTAAAAACCATAAAACTTACCAGGCTAACTGATCTGATAAAGATGGGTAGAGCCTCTGAAACTAGAAGGGCCCTTGTGCCCCTCTAGATTGGAACAAAACTCACCCCTTTGGCTCAACTTTCAACCAAATTATGTGTAGGTCTAAAAGGTAAAACTAAGGTCAAGGGAGCTCTGGTGGCCTAGTGGCAAGAAGCTGCACTGCAATCCCACAGGCACGTGGTTCAAATCCACCAGATGCTCTGCTGGAGAAGGAGGGACAATCTCCTCCTGTACCAGTCAGATCTGATTTGATGGTACACACACACACACACACACACAATTTAAAAAAAAACAAAAACCCTAAGGTCAACAATGTGGTCAGGAGGGATGAGTCCTTGGAGAAGGACATCATGCTTGGAAGGGTGAGGGATGAGTCCTTGGAGAAGGACATCATGCTTGGAAGGGTGAGGGATGAGTCCTTGGAGAAGGACATCATGCTTGGAAGGGTGGAGGGACAGTGCAAGAGAGAAAGACCTAGATGAGATGGATGGACACAGTAAATGGAGTAATGGGGGTAGGTGTGTTGGAGACAGGGAGACTGGCTCAGGATAGAACAGAGTGTCGGGCTGCTGTTGCTATGAATCACTGCGTCACAGGAGACTTGATGGCATATAACAACAAGGTCAACAAACACCTCACTCCTTGGAATAACCAACCATATAAGGTAAAAAAAAATCAGCATTTGGATAAATGGTGGATAAAACTCAAGAGGCAAGAAGAGATGGAAGGATTAATGATAATGAAAATCACAGGGAGAAAATGGGAAGAATGTGTTAACAATGTGGGTATTGTTACCAGTGTTATAAAACAAAATGTGTATACATGGTTGAATGGAAAAACAATTTGCTTTGTAAACTTTCACCCAAACCACACGCACACAAAAAAGGGCCATTAAAATGGTTGCCAGGAAGCAGACCATCAACATTTACAAACATATAAGCACATCCACTGAGTAGGCTTTAAGAAATGTGCTCAAGGAGATCAGGAACTTTACCACAAAGGAGAAGGGAACCCCAGATGAGCACATTGATCAATAAAGCACTTTAGACTAAAGGATTATCCCATATCAAAAGATAAATTGCACTGGGAAAGCTTGCTGTCAGGGACATCTCCAGAGTACTGAAGAGCAACGATGTTAGTCTGGAGACTAAGGTGTGTCTGATCCAGGCCATGGTCTTCGTAATTACATACTATGCATCAGAAAATTGGACAATGATGAGGGATGTTAGAAAAATGTATGCCTTTGAGCAGTGGTGCTGGAGAAGAATATTGAATATACCATGGACTGCTAGGAGAGCAAATAGGTTCGTCCTAGAGAGGATGAAACTAGGCTGCTTCTTGGAGACAAGGATTCTGAAGCTCTGTATGACATACTTCAGGCATGTTGAGGGGAGGGCCAGTCCTTGGAGAAGGACATTATGCTTGAGAGGGTGGAGGGACAGAGCAAGAGGAAGACCCTAGATGAGCTGGATTGACTGGGACTGGGATAATGGTGGTAGATGTGTCAGAAACAATAAAGTTGGCTCAAGATAGAGCAGAATTCAGAGCTGTTGTAAATAAGGTTGCTATGAGTCACAGGCGGCTTGATGGCACATACCAAAAACAATAATATCTGTGTATGATTGTCCAGAAAATCAAATGAGGATGAAGATTCATTCACCAAATAAGATCTCTGCACTGGTTACCTATATACCTGTCACTTATTTTTTAAAAAAAAACTAGTCAATGTGGATAAAAACTAATAGCTAGTTATCAAATAAAGCTAGTCTTTTAAAATTTGCTGAAAAAGAGACCTAAATAAATACTTCCCATGATCATTGTTTGGAAGACTTACAATTAAAGTGACAAATAACAGTGCAATTTCTATCAAAATCTTCGTGACATTTTGGGTGGGGGAGAAGGAGAGTAGGAATGAAAAAAACCTATAATAAAATTCATAGAAAGGTTCTGTAATTTTTTTAAATGGGTGAAAGAATGTTTACAAATGATATTTTCTTTTAATTATTTGTGTGTTTTGTTTTGTTGCATGACATTAATTTTAACTTACGTAATTCATTACAATGTCTCATCAAACTTTTGTTGTATATTGCCTTTTTTACAAGAAATTTTAAGCAAGTTTGAATAGCCAACAGA